TAGGGAGGGCACTAAGGAAATTTCGCTGGTACTGAAGTTGAGGAATGCACACCGCCAAATAAACCATACCAAAGTAGTACATAATGGTTTGTATTAATTATGAAAACAACTTAGAAACAAAATATTTCTCTGCATAATTTGAAGATTTTTAAGGTTAAATATATAGATTAAATAAGTCTAACAGTGGTGGAACCAGCAAATTTTTTGGGGGGCAAAATGAAACCTTTATCAAGAAATGGTGCATTTGTACGTTTATTGAAAGATTATATGGCAAAAAATTTTAAATAAATTGTTTTAAATAACATATGTTAGTTTTTAATAATAAATTAAAAGTGGTTGATGACATATATGCTATTGATTTAAGAACAAAGATGAACATATATTGATTAGAAATATATTAATGAACAAAAAGAGGAAAGTATAAGACTATTAATGAATAAATAATTTGTAAAATGATGATAATAAATAATTTTTCATTTGATTGGGTCTTCAGTTTTCCTCATATTTTATATTGTCTTTATTTTCTTCTCGCTCATGATCACAAAAAAAAAATCCACAATAATAAAAAAAAAAAGAGAAAAAAACTTAAAATGGTAAAAAAAAAAATATGGATGAAGATGATTCAAATATAACTCAAGGGGCCAAAAATAATTTTTCTCAAAAGTTCAGGGGGCTCCTAGCTCCGCCGGTGAAGTCAAATCAAAGATTTTGAAGTTTTAAACAAAGATTAAATAAGGCCAAATCAATCATTTAATATGCAATCCAAGCAATAATTGTTGAAACGAAAAACAAGTAAGGCAATATTTTGAATGACTCAATGAGCTAAATGGTTTCCCACCAAACTTTAGAATTTAGACTCTAGTGATTAGGAGTTCTATTTTCATTGATTACATATAAACTTCCCCTTTTCCCCCAAAATTTTCCATGTTAAAAAAAAAAAGAAAAAAAAAGAGTGAGGCAACACTTTAAAAATCACCATTCAATTAATCTTAATATTTCTTTATCTTTTATATTTCCTTCATTTACATTGTCTTCTTACTATCATCCAAAGTAGCCTTTAATGGATAAGAAAAATTGAAAAAAGATTAAAATGGTATAAAATCAAGAATTTAAGGACATTAAAAGTTAAAAGACTTAACTAACTTTTTCGCTAGCTTCATCACTTTGGTAGTAGAGTGCAATGGTTCATTTAATAAATGACATATGACAAACTATTTAAATAGTTTAGTAGTGATATACTTTCTATAAAAATAAAAGTTTTTTAATTTAAATCACATGATATATAAATAGAATGAGTTAAAAGATAAGAAGATGTGGTCTTTTGTTATGAAATCTAAAATCTAATAAATAAATAAATGATATTATGAAGTTGTTAGCAAAAGTTGCGAGTAAAAAAGCATGATTAATTATATTTTGTAATCATATACCATCAACTCCCCCACTGGAACTCCAAGGATTATATTCATTGATAAACAAGTGTCATTTTATAAATTAAGTTTAAAGTTTAAGTTTTAAAACAAGCATTTAAGTATTTAAAGAAATTAATTTTTTTAAATGCATCATATTGATGTGAGGGGTATACCCTTAAAACCTCAAGAAAAGATTAGTTAATCTCAATGTGTGTAAAAATTAACTTAGAAACACTTTAAATAAATAAATAAATATATATATATATATATATGTATATAAACTCCTCCACTAGGCAGGTTAAAATAGTAAAATTAATTGAATATTATATTAGGATAAATGTGATAGTTGTTTAAAAGATTGTAAGTCTTGCATGACGTGAATTGTGATTAGGGATGCTTGAATGGAAAGCTTTCTCTGTGATTTGACGAAATTGATTAGCTCTTTTGAGAGTATAAAATGCTTGATTTAGACAAGTTGAGTTGCATCTCCGCCCACAAAAAAAAAAACAAAAAAAAAAAAGGGGGGGTGGGGGTGGGAAAACAAGTTGAGTTGCATGCATTAATTGGATTAAGGAAGGGTGAAACTTTGTTCATTTTCTTTCTTTAAATGAACTCTAATTCGAGTAACTGCATGAGATGCGTGAAGCATATGGCAGTACCACTAGTTTGATTTGGTTATTTGGATTGTATGTCTTCTGTCATTAGCTTAACAAAAAGAGTACTCAAGTAAAAAATACATTGAATTTTACTGTGTTAGATCTTCTTTCCATCTATTAAAAACGAATGAGTAACTCACCTTCCAAAGGAAATAATTCAGTTTTTACTAATTTATATGCTCTTTTTGTTTATTTTTAATAATAAATTACTAAATATAAATAGCGTGAGTAATAACTTTCAAAATATAATTTGACAAGTTCCTCTCTCTACAAGTATAATTTGACAAGTAATCAAATCATCTGAGTTTCAATTTTCTTTTCTTTTTTTTTTTCCTTTCTGGATGAATAGGGCTCATTAGAGAATAGCCATTTCTTAAAAAGATTTTACCGACTTTATTAACTAAGTGAAGGCCGAAAAATCAACCAAGTGCTAAAGAATACCAATATAAGAACTTTATTAAAAAAAAAATGTATAAAAACTTACAAGATAAAACGATTTTCAAATACTCCCTGAATTGCTCTGCATAAAGAGTGGATAATGATGTCTCTAAAAAGGAATGCAGAAAAATATAATACAATCATTACGCAAAAATTACAAATTTTATAATCACTAATAAA